TGAACTTCTGCACAGCTAGCCATCATAAAGTATAATTTATTTCTTTGCTAATATGGCAAACAAGAACCCAAGGGAAGAGGAATATGATATATAGCTACTGAGCATACACACAGAGCAATTTTTTCACTGATGAAATTGGGGATTACCAAAGTGAACCATAAATATATTTTTGTTCTAGGGCTACTGACTGAGCCATGAGGAAAGTTCAAAAGCCAACTATTTAGCTAAAGATCAAGATCTTAATCAGAACAAATGCTCACGACAAAGAAAGACCAGCAACTCAAAGTGCTCAGTACCTGAATTCACTGAACAAATCCATTTCTAGAATTTTGGTTTTATTTCAGGTGTTGATAGAATTAATTAAAAAAATTAGATGTTAAAAATGATGGGCCACATGGTCCCTCTGAGTAACACAGACTATTCTGCAATAGGAGTCTGACAAAAATATCTGAACAAAAGAAAAAAAGAGATGGAATTATTTTTTAAATAAAGATTTGACTAGGAGATGCCAGTTTATAATGCCTCATAGAATGCATCTCTCAAGATCAGATTTTACCAGTGCAGCCTTCACCAGTGAAAGAGACATGCAGCCACAGTAACTCAACAGTCCCATGGCACCATTTCAGCAAAACCAAAAAAAGTATGATTTTAACCAGTGGCACATTCCATACCTTCAGTCTGGCTAAATATTACATGTAAAACAAATCAGTTTTCATAGTCACTGTCAAGAATTAATGAAAAGAGTAGTTATTCTAACTACTGACCACAGTAGTTAAGAGTTTAATGAAATAACTATTTAGATAAAGTCATAGCTTAATAATGAGAATGAATATGAAATTGTTAATAAATTCAAGTGGTTAGGATTTCTTTGGAAGCAACATAGCCAAGCAGCCAAATTGTTATAAACCCAAGCTCATATTTTCACAAACTACAATAAACAATAACAGAAAAAACAATGCAAAGAAGAAAAATCATTGATTAGGACTCTGTCAGTGCAGATAACTTTTAAAGAAGCATTCTCCTGCTCACAAATTAAGAAGCATGGCAACTTAATGAAGAATAATAGTTCAATACAGGCATTGTGATATAGCCCACAAGAGAACATACTTAAACCCCATGCATATTTCAAGAGAAAGAATTCACATTCCAAACTGTTGAAATAATCAACAATTTAAAGCACAGTTTATTTTATCTTACATCGACTGCCTCCCTCTGCTAGTGTATCTTAAAATATCACTCCAAATTTTCAATTAAATTACTTTTCTCCAAGTTTTCTTCCTGTAGTTTTCATTTATCCCTTAAATACTAGCAGGCAATGACTGTAAAGTTAAATTTTACTCTGAGACATGTGTGGGGTTAATTGCCATTCTGTTACTCTGATACCATGTCATTTCCCTCCTATTTTGTCCTTCAGAAAAAGCTAGAAATGACTTCTTGGTCTATGTAACTTTACAGAGCTTTCTGCCAGAACTGTTTCACATAGCACTATTTGCAATTAATCTCAAAGTGATCTGGAAATTAAGTTTAGCTGCAGCAGAGAAAGCTTATCTTTTGTTTCTCAGAACCGCTCAGATTTTTAGGATTACTGAACAGTAAATTTTGAAGAGTTACAGTAGATACCATAATTTGAACCATCTGCTTATAGTTTGGCTTTACCCTTAGATTCTATAAGATATCCATTGTATTATCCTAAGCAAATCCAATGAAAGATACAGTAAACAACTATGACAGAATTCTAGGAAAACAAAAATAAGGGCCAACTCTGTCCTACACTGAACTACAAAAGATAGAAACGGGATAAAAGCAATGCTAGGCCTGTCATTTGGCAAAACTAATGAAAGGTTTGAGGATAGACTCTTTCTGTAACTACTGGAATCCAAAACAATTAAGAACTGAAACACCTGCTATCATGTACCACCTCACCTCTCCTGCTCATTTCCACTGTGATCTCTCTTGGACAAATCTAACACACAAATGGGATTTACTTCTTGTGACACCAGGTAATAAAGAACCTAATTCTATTAGGGTTACTTTTTGCAAAAGCCTATTTTAAAAGTGAGAATTACAGAGCTGAAACATCAAAACTCAGTTACAGCTCCCAAGCAGAGTGACTGGGAGAGATATAAAAGAAGCCCAAGCCTACTTAATTTGCAAAAATAAGACCAACTTCTCAGAGGATCAAGGTATTTCTGCAGACACACTGGATTTTTCTTTCCATTCCAGATACCAACACAGATTGTCAATGAAATATTGAATAGAATTAAACTTTAAAGTATAACGGCTAACAGAAAATCAAGATCAATTTAAGAAGTAACAGCTCACATCAAAACCAACTAATCCAATTCTCATTCTTCTCTTACAAGAGCATTTAGAAGGGGTGGAAAGACCAGAGTTCAGATTCTTTTGAGCTACAGGAGCATAAAGAACATTTTAAATAGAATAGTCTCCTTAATACTATTCTCTTAACCAAAACACACAAGCAAATAAAGATTGTATTCAAATGCAAAAACAGTTTTAAACTGTATTTTAAATTGAATGCTTGAATCCTGTAACACAGAAGAGAAGGAGGGAAGTAATGATCACTGGAGTGCACGACAGAATTTCTTCACTTCACCCACAAACTTATTAATGTATTCAAACATAGTTTGTAATGTGGAAAACAACTGCTGCATGAATGAATAAACTATAAAAGAAAGTTAAATGCTACAGTACAGAAGAGCTTTCTGATGCAAGCTGAAGTCTTACAATAGTGGAAGTAATATTAATTTGAATTCCAAATTTCCTGTGAGCAGGTACTAATTTTGAGAAAGAATATAAAACGTTTCCTTACCAACCACCATAAGAGTAAATTCAAACCCCTTTTTCACAGACTTCCGGTGAACCTGATTGGGAAGGTTTGCAAATCCAACATAGCCAGGGGTTTCTGGATTGGTAAACTGAGCAGGCTGTTGCTAAAAATAAAATAAGACAATAATAAGCAACCATTCAAGACATACTTGTTTGTATAACTGCTTTCTTCAGTTATTTCAAATGGTTTGAAGCTAGATGACATAGAGTGTTCCTACTACTCAAGTTTCACAATGAAGTACAGAACAACTGCATTCACCTAGAGCTTACAAAAAAGTTTCATTATTCAGCTATCCAGCCAAGATCACCTTAAGTAAAAAAGAAACAAAAACCCAAACATTTTATGAAGTGCATTCACTAATCACACACTTTTTAAACAGTGTCTTCACATGCATTTAAAATAAAAAAGCTTGTGTCTAATGTTTATAGACTTAAATAAAAAGGTGACCATTTCTAATTTGGTTTTACCACATCCAAATGAAAACACTGAATGACTGGTGAAGTGACAGCCATGTGCTGGAAGTCCTCTTTAGAGATCTCTTTTAAAGGGGGGAGCAATTTACACAATACTGTTTCAAATAGCCACCACTACAAATATGGCAGAGAAATCTTTAGATTCATTAGTCTCCTTCTTCAAACACATAATTCAAGTACCCTTTATCATTCATTTCACTCCAATAAGCTAACATGGATGTTCTACCCATCATACCAAATGCAGGGGACCGAGAATTAGATGAATCCCAGCATGTCAATAATATTTTAAGTCACCATGTTGTTTATGAAGGATTTTTCCAGAAGATCAATTGACTCTATTAGTAAATGAAGAAATTAAATCTAAGAACATCCTTTTCTGAAATGATTCCTGCTCAAACCAGTAGCAGAATATCTGGATGTTTCAATGAAAATGCACCAGGGAGCTTGTATGCAACTCCATGACCAAAACTAAATCCTTCCAAGAGTATGAGTTAACTGCAGAGGTTTATACTTATAGGAAAGTACATTAATACATGTTTTACATCACTCAATCTTTCAATATTATGTCTTCTACATGTGAATTCTCTCTTACTTATGACCCATAAATTTAGCATACACATCACCATCAAACATAACGCAAGTTACACATTCTACCCTTGCAGATTAATATTTAAAAACAAAACATCTGTTTCACTTTGTTACACTGGAAGACAGAAATGTCACTCTTACCTTGGACATTTTTATGGAAGGTCAGGAACAGATCTGGAAAAAAAAAAAAAAAACATTTTCAGCTTATTAAAAATCATACAAGAAGAAAAAACCCTACAAAACACAAAACAATATAATATCCACTAAAACAAAAAGTCCCTTTTACCTTGGACATTTTTATGGAAAGTCAAGAACAGAACTGGAAAAAAAAAAAAAAAAACATTTTCAGCTTATTAAAAATCATACAAGAAGAAAAAACCCTACAAAACACAAAACAATATAATATCCACTGTTGCACACTAAATTAAAAACAGAGCATTCTTGATTGGATGTCCGGATTTTGAAACACTGTCAGTTGCTTCACAGAGTACAAGTATTTGACTCTTCGGTATTAATGAGGGGCAGAATTTTCAGCAACCGTTGCTCCTATTAACATCATTGGACAATAAATTCAAGCAACATGAAGATGGGGTGTTAAAGGCACTGGATGTATGACAAACCATTCTGAAGCCTGACAAAGAAAAGTTCACATCCTTTCCGGAAACTAACCAAACCAAACATACTGCTTAAACATATCTTACTATTTACAGGAAACAGTTTTTTCAAAGCTCAGAAAAACAACGCATGTACTATTTTTTCTTTCTAGGCCTCCTTCCCCTCAACATTTCCTGTCATGCTTGAGTGTTCTGTAAAGAGTTGACAGCTTCAAAATGAACAAAAGAAACGACAGCTTCTTCTCCTCTTTCATCTGGATGCTTGCAAACTCAGTCGTTTTAACTTCTGTTGCCAAGATAAGATTTTTCACATGCAGCTGCAGCACTTTGAGATACAAAGTAGACAGGAAAAAATAAATCTCTCATCTAACACCTCCATGCAAAGTCTCGACAAACAAAGACCTGTCAACAGAAGAGAACTTCTATCACACTAACTTGCATGAGTTCAAGAGATCATATAACTTACATATAAAAATGTCAGCATATATTTTTATATATTTTATATTGTATCTTCAAGTGATGAGTGCTCCAAGTTCCCTTTCTACTCCCTTCCCTGGCTTGCCCTCCAACCAAAAAGGTATCAGTTCCCACTCACAAAGCCCACATACCATAGCCACCACCTATCTGTCTAGCTCACTTCCACTTTTATTCTACGGATTTGAAATTATCGCTGTCTGATTCTTTCTGTCTTCCAAGCAGATTTTTGTCAGTGAGTTCAGCCTCATATGAAATGACACCAAATGGCTTCAATGTACAGCACCCTTCAGCTTGTCCCTCCCACCAAAAAGCCATCTTGAAGTCAAAACAAACTGCCAAGTGTCAGACAGACAGGAGCCCAATCTTTTTTGTGCTAGGCAGAAGGCAAAGTTGTTTTCAAATTGGTGATGATTTCGGCAGCTATGGCATTTGCTTCTCAAAGCTACTGTATATGTATATATACACAAAGTGCAACCTCCTTTAGGTTTATTAAGATGCAACTTTTTAGCTTACTATGATTACTTCACTGTTAACAGTTACCAAGCTGCTTCCCCCCAATAAGGAAGGGTCAGTTTTGAGGAAGGCTTTTTGATGGGAGGGACAGACTAAAGGTGCTAAACACTGAAGCAATTTGGTGTGGTTTCACACGAAGCTGAACTTGCTGACAAAAATCTAGCATCCTGATTACACACACAGAATAAAAACTGGATAACATGCTTCTCAACTGAAATTTCATGCTAAAAATAAAATCCAATATCTGCAATATCTGTATTTCAGTCAATAAGCTGGTCTATGACTTATGAAGTATTCAACTACTGAAGAGGTTATCTGTGAGACTTTTATCATCATGCAAGATTGCTCCAATAGCAACTCTTCCAAGAGTGTTTC